TGCGCTGCATTGTTTACGTTATGTGTATCTGCAGCCAGCAGCGTCGAATGTATGACGAATATAGATGAATATATCTGTAGAAATAGACAGTTGGCTCATTACACGCAGGCGCAGAATGCACGTTATAGCTGACAGTCGGCTGTAGTTCTTTCAGTGTGTTCAAGTGCAACTTTTTACCTCGACGAGAGCGGACGAAAGGCGACAACGTAGTCGGCTTTTATCAGGGCTAGTTCGTCGGCTTGGTGTGTTCCAGGCTTAACATGACACCTTCATAATCATGACATGACATATGTTCTGAATATTTGTTTCTGACAACTGTCATTAAAAGTGTCATTCACAAGTGTCATTTGCATAAGTGTCATTGTTTGAGATGTCTTTGTTATGACAACTTGACATAAACCAATACAACATAACCTGTCAGTGTCTTTGTCATGACAACTTTTACAACCTGTCATAAACATGACATAGCAGATTAATTATCAATTTAAGAATCAACCAAGTTAAACTGTCATGTGGTTGGCTTTGATATCGGCTGTCATGAGGCCATTATAACTTTTTAATGACAAATTTAATTAGTACCACTGTAGTTGAAGTCACGAAAAATATTGATGACACAGTTATAATGGCCTCATGACAGCCAATGTCAAAGCCAACCACATGACAGTTTAACTTAATTTTATGTCAAGAAGTCATGACAAAGACACTGACAGGTTATGATGTATTGGTTTATGTCAAGATGTCACAACAAAGACATCTTAAACAATGTCAAAATGACATTATTGAACAAAAGACACTTAATGACAGTTGTCATAAACATAAACCTTACTTCATATCCAAGACATATGTCATGTCATGGTTATGAATGTGTCATGTAAGTCTTATCCACACCCCTTCAATTAAAGTGTTACGAAAAAAATTATACCTATCCCAAACTTGGACCTCCTATGTCTTTTCATTGTGATTTATTTCATTGTACCTTTGCATTTATAGCCCTGATTCTTAAAAGGAAAAACATTTTCATTTTAAAACTGTTAATTAATCTTAAACAATGTACTTGACATTCCTCAAAGATGAGTTAATCCCGAACAACACTCCCCACACTCTCCACTTCCCACATTGCTCTGAGGTTATGGTTTCTTAGAACAGCAGCAATAAGACAGACATCAAAGCTCTTGCAAGAGGAGACAGCAGCTGAAACTCGCTGTCACACAGCCTGGAGCAGAGACATAGCAAGAGAGATAGGCAGAAAGGGCCAGAAGGAATGAAACAAGCATAAAGAGAGAACTGCAAAATAACATAGGCCTAAGGAGTAGATGATAAAAAGAAAGCGATATAATACTCCTAATACAACTTCAAAGTGTCTGTTTATTCTAGTACCTGTTCATGTGCCATCAAAGTGTGGCACAGTATCAAGGGATTGTGTCTCACAGCACACGGTCCAGAGCACTCACTTCCATGGCACTGAATGTTGAGGGGCTGCACAAAGCATATCGTCTAAAGGAAAACCATGCTAAAGGATAAACACTGGCTTATCTGTAAGTAGACTGAGCAAACGATTTCAGAGGCACTAAGCAACACAGATTGCACTATAGGGTCATTTTACAGTCTCTCTCTCTCTCTCTCTCTCTCTCTCTCTCTCTCTCTCTCTCACACACACACACACACACACACACACACACACATTTGTTTTGCTGTACTTCCACATTCCATAGGCATAATGGTTTTTAAACTGGACAAACTTTAACATTTTTAATAAAACACTGTTTAGTATGTTTTGAAATGTGCTCATAAATACCAGTGCAAAAGAGTGCGGAAGTGAAGACGTCACTTTGTAGGATAACTCGGAAGCTAGCGGCGCATGGGTTCCCTCGATCGAAAAGCTATGCATTTTCCCCATAGACTTTTAGAAAAATCGCAAAAAATAAGATCTGTGTTTAACAAAGAGTTTTGACCCTTATACATTTTGTCTATCAAGATAATCTTTAGAAGTTAATCCACAATTTATACATTTTGAAGCCTATATAAAGTTTTTAAAAAACACAAGCAGACACAATAAAGTTTAAAAAACCACAAGCAGGTTATAACTGGTGTTTTATGTCATAGATCAAAACGTGAAAATATTTAGAGGGTTTGTTCACCACAGACCTTATTTCAGGCGATTTAGCAAAAACCCATTCAAAAATCCCATAGACTTTAGAGCGAGAGTACCGGGAGTGCTACAGTGCTCCGCGTTTTGGCCTACAGAGTGACGTCGTAACTTCGGCACTCTATATGTCATATTACAAATTTCTGTCCTCATAAAACACACACACACCTTGTTCTTCATGCCCAATGGTGCAGATAGTGTGTATCCTCAGTGTGTATAATTCTTATTTGTGTGAGGGTGTGCATCTCAATTGTCAACAGAACGTATCTCCATGACACCCTAACGCTCGTTTGACCAGTTTCTCACAGTCTCTTTGTTCCTGTTATCCTTTGTCAGAGGCTGTGACAAAGACAGCAGCTGCAATGTCCTTCAGTTTTTGTATTTGAGTATACTAATGTTAATAATAATGTTATAAGAAAGTTACAAGAAAGCATCACCTTCTTACCTTCAACCCATGTTCTTTTTATATATTTTATACAGTATACTGCTGTTTTCACAACCACAGATTAAAGATTGGAAGAGAATCCTCACAAAAATGCATGTCCAAAATAATAAAATAACAATAATAATAAGGTTTATTACAGGTCAAAAGAATCAGAGTTAGACTGAATGATAATAATGCATAGCTCATTTTTCACATTCAATGTGCCGAGATTTCATGAAATTGTGAAGCCTGAAATTGAAACCAAATCATTTTCCCATATTTGCTGGAGGCTGAAAAGTTGCACACATCTGAGCGGGATCATACCATGCATTTTTCTTTTCATGGTTTCATTCTGGTATTCAGGATGTGTGTGAAATGAAAAATGTAAGTTCCATAAATTTGGTCTGTTTTGGAACAGTCATGAATTATAAGTGCAGAGGAGTTGAATCAAAGGAGCTGATTCTGGTAAATGTCAAGTACTTGTTCTAAATCTCATTTAATAATATATTAAAATAAAGTTTCTCATTAATATTGAAAAATGTCTTGCATCTCAGGGAGATTGCAGTTGTTAGTATAGGGAGGTACGAAGAGAGAGAAGGCTCATTACCCTCTTTCTTAATTTAGTTGGCCGAGTCCTGATACTCCTCAGAACTGCAGTCTAAAAATGGGAGCTATAAAGTTAGTGTATCTTTTTCTATGTAGGGATGAGTTAGATAGAATGTGAGGGACAAAAAAAGAGAATGCATGAGATCAAATGACTGAGGAATAGCAAAACAGACAGTAATGTAAAAGTTGAGTAAGCAAAGCATTAAAAGTTCATCGCAGTGGCCATTAAAAATACTGAATTAGCTGAATTAACACATTCTCATCCTTTGGCGTCATATAGGTGACACCATATGACATTTCGTCGAAATACTACACACATGGCACCCTTTAGCATCAATATAACATGCACTGTTATGGGTAGGTTTAGGTCTGGAGTAGGGCCTGCGTCTCATATTGACGCGAAAGGATGCCATTCACCTGTATGACGCCTTGGGTTCTGCGTGTTATATTGACGCTAAACGGTGCCATGTGCGTAGTATTTCGACGAAAAGTCATATGGCGTCACCTACCTGTATATGACGCCAAAGGATGAGAATGTGTTAAGGATGGGAACGGTCTCAAATCATATCAAAAAAATAAATCTATGATTCTGCTACTCCACTTTAACCAGAGTCCATGATATCTTATAACCTTTAAATTTCTTGCAAGTCTCAAAAATATATGATTTTTAAGAAGGGCCAGTTCATTAGTCTATGCTATGGGCTTATCCAGCTCAATGTGAAGGCTCTGCCACTGGCGCTTATGGGCTTGTGGACACAATGACCCTGGCAAACCTAACTAATCTCAGTGGCAACAATGGCACAGGAGTAGCTAAATAGCTAATTAAAGAAAGAAAGGTTGTCAGCAGTGTGCTCTCAAGCTTACAGCCTTGTATGTTTTATAAACTCATTATAAACACATATTGTTAAATGGTATATGGTTTGTTTTCTTGTCTGTTGCTTTCAAACTCAGTCTTTTCTGTGTATAAATTATGTGAGAGTTGATCATTTTGATGTATGGCTTTTCACATTTGAAATGATTTAACCCTGGTCTCACACTATTAATTAATCCTGGTTTCAAGATTTCCTACTCTTCACTTTTAAACCCTGGGGTAACATTCGTATTTGCATATTTATGAGGCCAGTTTGCAATGTCCAGTTAATGTTATTGACCTCATAACATGCAAATAAGAATGCAGCTTACACTGGCCCACAACCGCAAAAGCTTTAAGGTAGCCTATTCAAAACCCAGTGTTAAAGGGATACTCCACCACTTTTTCATATCAAACTATGACATTCCCTTAGCTAAGACGAGTTGATACATACCTCTCGTCTCTCTGGCGCGCGAGACACTTTGATAGCACTTATCTAGTCCAGTTCATTCATTAGGATCCAAGCAGAGAAGCGACCAAACACCTCCATGTTTTCCCTTTTTAAATACAGTTACACGAGTAGTGTAACTCAACCATGAATGGTGACACAGAATAAAACGTTGCGCTTTTCTGAGCGTGTAAAGTGGATAACTATAATGCATGGCGGAATACCACGGCAAGTGCTTGGGAGCAATTCGACTCGGCGCAGTAATATCATCATTGCTGAAAAATCCTCTCCCCCTCTCCCTCTCTGGAGTGATATTACTGTGCCGAGTCTATAGATATATATGCGCCGAGTCGAAGTGCTCTCATGCACTTAAAAGCGGTGAAATTCCATAGCCTAAGTCCTGAAAAAAAGCCAGTGTGAGAAAAACTTTGTGTTTCTCTCTTTCTCTTTTTTTTTACTCCTAATTTTACACGTTGCTTTGATATTATGTGATTGAGATGTAAATACCCTCCCTTTTCTTTCCCAGGGGCTCATTGGTGAGAAGTACGGCAGCATTCGGGTCCCAGGAGAGGTGGAGTCAGCCGAGTTTGAGATGATCTTGGATGTGGCGGTGGAGGCGGGACTAGACACACGGATCTTGGAGGAGTGGTACTGTCGGGATGAGAACTCGGTCCCGCCTGCCTACTACTTAAAACCGAAAGCTGAGATGCTGAAGAACTACCAGAACTCTGTAAGTAGGAAGAGCAGGAAGGTATAAGTAAAATTATTTGAAGAATTAGGACTTCAGCTTGTAGAAAAAATAAACCATTTCATTATAATTAAAGTATAGCTGATCCGTGTTGGTGCTAAGAAAGGAACAAAGAAAATCAACCTTTTTAAAGAGCTAGCACAACACAAATGGAGAGGAAATATTTTCTTCTGATATTTTGGTTGCTAGAGTTGAATGATTCCTCTGTACACCATCATTAAAAGTGTGCAGTCTGTACGCTTTTTAAAGTTTTTTGAAAGAAGTCTTATGCTCACCAAGGCTGCATTTATTTTATTTAATCAAAACTACTGTAAAAAAGCAAAACTAACAAACAACAACAAAACAGTAATATTCTGAATAGTATTACAATTTACAGTAAAAAAACTGATTTATATTCTAATATATTTCAAAAATGTATTTATTCCTATAATGGCTAAGCTGAATTTCCAACAGCCATTACTCCTCTCTTCAGTCACATGACCCTTCAGAAATCATTCTAATATTTCTTCTTATCATTACATTTGAAAAAGTTTAGAGGAGGTCAACACCTCTAAAGCGAGAGGATTGAAGCATTGAGTGAAGCATCCGACATTCATACTACACACTCATACTATATAGAATGTAAGGGAGAGCAGGGCACAACCTAACACATTTTGGTTTTGGCTCAATTAATTAAAAAATAATTAGGTTAGATAAATACTTTTTTTACACAAGCAACATACACATCTCTGCTACAAATGAACACTTAAAGTTTTTTTCTAGGACCTACCATTTTCGTACAGTTGGACTGAAAGTGACAGAAGTGCAAATGTTACAACTTACCCCATATGCGGGGTTAATTGTAACAGACAGAGGGGTTAGTTGTAACATTTGTGTGTAACACACATAATTCAGTACTATTTTATTTGAATAGTTTGATATTGTTTGTGCATCTGTATAGACAGATATCCATACATCCATCCCTCATCCAATCATCCTTCTATTATGGATCAATATCATGGATAGAGACATAGAAAAGGGCTGCATAGTTTTGCAATAAATAATAATAAATACAATTATAAATATTGTAATTGCAATTAAATTAAACTTGTGTGTGGCAGCTGCATATACAATTATTATTATTATTATTATTATTATTATTATTAATAACAGTAATAATAATACAAATGAGCTTAAAATAAAAATTTAAAGGCTTTATTGCATTAAAAACAGGTCATATTTTTAATAAATAAACAAGTTATCATTCATAGTACACTAAATTTTAAACATTTTAAATTCCAACATTGTTTGTGAAAGTCTAACAAAGTTAAATGTATACTCAAACCTGAAAAGTTGTGTGGCTCCGTTTTCATTTGATTATCATTGTACACTTGGAGGCTTAGTTGTAACACTATGTTACAACTAGTTGTAACAAGTTGTAACTTAGTTGTAACACTATGTTACAACTAACCCCGCTGTGTATTACATATTTTAAGCTAACAGTCGCTAGGAATTGCAGACAATTTTTCAAAACAGTGCTATGTTTGAGCCAACAAGACAGGGATTAAGGCAATATAAAGTTAGATTTGGAAACGTATACACCCAACCCAGAAACCGAAAAATAACCTATGATGAAAAAAATTACTTTCATGGTGTCAAAACACTCTTTGTCCAGTATCTTCATGAAATATAATCAAAACTTTCTGCAAATTCGCGGGAGACCGTCTTCTGGCAACAAAAGAAAAATAGCGGAAAGACAGCCTGCTTGATCCTGACTAACTATGTAAACGGTCCGTGTTACATTTAACCCAGCGTTAGGTTGTGCCCCGCGCTCCCCTACTTTTTAAAAATACTTAAGTACAAAATAAGTACCTATAAGACTGTGTGATCTTGGGCGCAGCCAATGAACCAAACATACTCCTGACAGTTTAACACACACACACACAAACAGAGAGAAAGAGAGAGAGAGAGAGAGAGAGAGAGAGAGAGAGAGAGAGAGAGAGAGAGAGAGAGAGAGAGAGAGAGAGGAGAGATAATGTAGTGTGTATAAAGCAGATTGCAATGCAGAGTGGCAGCAAATTGAGAAAGCATCTGTGAAGCTGAGGGTCTCTGTTGGACTAAAATGAGAAAAACAGCAGGGACTGAGTATCTACCTGCACTCAGCAAAAACACCCACTGATCTCTCTCTCTTTCTCTCTCTCTCTTTCTCTCTCTTTCTCTCTCTCTCTCTCTCTCTCTCTCTCTCTCTCTCTCTCTGGTAGGTGACTGGGTTCATGACAAAAACTTCCTAAAATATTACTTCAGTAACACAATGTGTGTCTACTTTCAATTTCTCTGTTCAGGCAGACAGAGCAATTTGTATTGTTGGTAACACTTTCTGACAAACATACTACATTTCATGGGGTTCTTGTGGTCAGAAAGTTCTAGAAACTTTCAACTTTTAGAAACGTTCAAAATTTTGTTTTCTAAACAAAACAGATATGTACCTTTAAGTATAAATGTTTATCTGTCCATAAAATAATATACAGAACCAAACAATGCAAAAAGCTTGTAATTAAAGGGATAGTTCACTTTGAAATTCATTTTTGATATGTCTTAGCTTACCTCAAGGGCATCCAAGATGTAGGTGTCTTTGTTTCCACAGTATTTTCAATTTTGACATTTTCCGGTCAAACCGTTGTTGTCTGTCAGTCATATAATGCAGTTTTAGGGGGTCCACCTCAAAGAGCATGCACAGAGAAGTCAAAATTAAACATGATTTAATGACTCGTGAATGTAAGTACACACTGATGGCCTAAGACACGAAACGAGCGGTTTGTGTGAGAAAACAAACAGTATTTATATAGTTTTTACCTCTTGTTAACAGCCGTCGAACTGATCTGAATCAGATGTCCAACTGAACCGAACTGAACCGTCTCCAACGTTACGGCGGAAGTGATCTCTCGCGCATCCACGTCACGCATTGTTTACACAGAGATTTCGGAAGTTTTACTTTTCACTAAACATATTTAGATATACGGGAAATCACGATTTCGATATATCTAAATATGTTTAGTGAAAGGTAAAACTTCCGAAATCTATATGTAAACAATGCGTGACGTACATACGCACGCGATCACTTCTGGCGTAACGTCTGGAGACGGTTCAGTTCGGTTCAGTTGGACATTCAGTTGGACATCGTATTTATGAATAAAAATATTGATTTTAAACAGTATAATACATTAAAAAGTACACATTGTCACTTTAAGGTGCGTGACCGTGACATCTTTGTGAAAATGTATAGACAATAAAGATCTATTGTACAGTACTGTATATCGCCAATGTAGCGATGTATGAGCTATTCTAGCATTACAGTTAAAGCAAAAATTAAAAACAGTACTAATGCATTTGTTATTGCTTTTTACTGGAAGTGTTGATTAACTGGTACAGCATATGATGTGGGTTTTCTTTTTGATTGGTTCAAATGAACAAAGAGTAACACCTTAAAATAATTCGATGACTCCATATGTGCTTTTACCTCACAGATGGAGTCAAGCAGCATAGCAAAGTCAAAGAACGACAAGGCATGGAGGGCAGTCTCAGAGGAAATCAAGAGGATCTTCAGAACTTCTGTTTTACAGCTGCAGGAGAAGGGGACCATGAAGAGCGATCAAGCCAAGAAATTCCTCTGCTCAGGTAAACTCTAGTTATTGTTACAGTTATGAGCTCACAGCTAATAAATGTCTAGTGCTATTTTAAATGCCTGAGTTTGTTTGCAATGTGTTTCGCAGTACATTGCAAGGTTACAAAGATCAAAGTCCACTCTAGAGGGTTATATTAAAGGCTTGTTTGGACAATGTGATTTTTCCGGATCTTCTGAAGTCACAATGGTACTCATTTAAATAATCTGTGCCTACAGAATATGACAAAAGGGGATGAGGCCTGGTTGAGCTGCATTAGAGAAGACAATGTTGTCGTTACGTCAAAGAGACATACTTTTCTCGACCCCTTTTCCAAAACTCAATAGTTTGACCTTCCTAAGGCTGACTACCTTAAAGTGGTTAAAATGTATTTGGATACATCATATGTACACTCACCTAAAGGATTATTAGGAACACCATACTGATACTGTGTTTGACCCCCTTTCGCCTTCAGAACTGCCTTAATTCTTTGTGGCATTGATTCAAAAAGGTGCTGAAAGCATTCTTTGGAAATGTTGGCCCATAGGATAGCATCTTTCAGTTGATGGAGATTTGTGGGATGCACATCCAGGGCACGAATGCACGAAGCATTCCACCATATCCTAAAGATGCTCTATTGGGTTGATATCTGGTGACTGTGGGGGCCATTTTAGTACAGTGAACTTATTGTCATGTTCAAGAAACCAATTTGAAATGATTCGAGCTTTGTGACATGATGCATTATCCTGCTAGAAGTAGCCATCAGAGGATGGGTACATGGTGGTCATAAACGGATGGACATGGTCAGAAACAATGCTCAGGTAGTCCGTGGCATTTAAAGATGCCCAATTGGCACTAAGGGGCCTGAAGTGTGCCAAGAAAACATCCCCCACAGCATTACACCACCATCACCAGCCTGCACAGTGGTAACAAGGCATGATGGATGAACAATTTTGGTGAGCTCTTGGAAATTGTAACCTCTTTTTCCTACTTGTAGTGGAGATGAGACTGGCACCCGTCTGGCACCAACAGCCATGCCACGCTCAAAATTGCTTAAATCACCTTTCTTTCCCATTCTGACATTCAGTTTGGAGTTCAGGAGATTGTCTTGACCAGGACCACACCCGTAAATGCATTGAAGCAACTGCCATGAGATTGGTTGATTAGATAATTGCATTAATGAGAAATTGAACAGATGTTCCTAATAATCCTTTAGGTGAGTACCCGGTGGGGTTTTCTGCTGTTGTAGCCCATCCGCCTCAAGCTTGTGTGTGTTGTGGGCATAGTTGTTTAAAGAGCCATTCACACAAAGCTTTTATACACACATGCTTTTACAATCACATAAGGCCTGTTACAGTTTCATTATCTTTTATGTCACTTGGACACATTTCTTAATACTTAGGCCACTTTTTCAAAACTCTTCAATCAGTGAGCACAACACAAGTCTATGCGAACTGTGGATCATTTATCATTTGCTTTGGCACAAAATTCATTCAGTGACTAGCCTACATCTCTCAAATGACTCTTTTCAGTTCTTTTATTCTTTCTGAATGAGAATTGTTGCCAGTGTTATGGTGGAACAAGCTTACTTTGAAATATGAAGTGTTTTGTTGGTCTGAGTGAGTTTTGGAAGTGAGATTAACTGTTTGGCCAAGATTAATGTTGGTAATGCAGGCTGTATGAAGAGTTTTGAAAAAGTGGCTTAACTGACCGATGCTTGTTAGCAATTAAAAATACCTGCGAAACTAAAACTGTTCGGTGGTTGCAAATGTTACTATATCAGTTTATCATTAAGTCACTAACTCAGCCGATTCGTTCAAAAGGTTAATTCATTTAGGAATGAAGACTGTCTTTATGAAAGGGTCGTTGAAATCTGAATTGTTCAAACATGCGGAGGGATAATTCACAGAAAAAAGGAAAATTCTGTCATTAATTACTCTCATGTGGTTCCAAACCCGTTAGACTTTTGTTCATCTTTGAAACATATGAAGATGTTTTTGATGAAATCTGAATGCTTTCTGTCCCTCCATCAACAGCCTACTCTACGCAACTACCATTTGACGTTTCAAATGTTCATAAAGAGGTCGTAAAATGAATCCATATGAATTAAGCAGTTTAGTCCAAATTTTCTAAAGAGACACAATCACTTTATATGATCACCAGATTGAATTGAGGCTTTTATTCACATATAAACTTTCATCCACTCGCACATCAGTTGTGGTAAACGGAGCCTCAAGCATGTTAACTTGTTAACACGCATGTTGCTTAACTTGAGAGAACCAATGCTATGCTTGCTATGCAGCACATTTGAGCTTCCACAAGAACCAATGAGGCTTGTTCTCGCTCATTAATCAGGTTCCGTTGAGGTTCTGTTTATGTTCGCTGATGAATGTTTGTATGTGAATAAAAGCCTAAATTCAATCTGTTCATCATATAAAGCGATTATGTCTCTTCATACAATTTGGACTAAACCGCACGATTCATATGGATTGGGTTTACAATCTCTTAATTAACTTTGAAGTGTCAAAGTGATACTTTGCATAGACTGTCAATAGAAGGACAGAAAGCTCATGGGAAACCCTATGAAATGAGGACCAAATATCCCCTCAAGGACAGCAATGCCTGAAATGTTTGATGTAGGAACATCTTTTTGTACCTATGAGGAAAACAGCTAGCCTGGATGCCAGCCCAAACCCTGCCCACAACATTTTTGGTTGTGAAGTTCAGTCTGGATCCATTGAGGAGTAATTATGATCGGTTCAGAAATCATGGGGCCAATCAAATTGCCAGGGTGGGCTTTATGCGATGATGGACATATGATCTGAAGTTATCCAATCATCACGTTATCACTTGGGTTGAACTGGTTTCCCTCAAAGATGACTGCAGCTGGAGAATTGAGATGTATAGATTCCGCTATCGCGTCCATTGTAAAAGAAATCAACAGCGCATTAATAACAGAACAGAGATTAAGAACAGAGAACTGCAATCAAGGCATTTGTCGATCGGAAAGATGGGTTTGCCGTCCTTCCTACGGGATTCGACGGAGCGCAATGAAAACCCTCTGGTCGTTGTGGTTTCTCCTTTGGTCGCACCGTTGCACTCATAGAGAACCAAGTAAAAAAAGCAACACTCATTATTTTACTACTTCTTCCAGCGTGCGTGCAGTTGAGTTCTGTTGTTGACAACTATGCGTAGCTCAGTGTTGTCTATCCAATTGAGTGCAAGGTTGTTGTTTTTTTTTTTCCCTGGTTCGGTTAAGACACGCCTCATAATCAAAGCCATGGAGAAGTATCAGACTCACATTCTGACTAGAATACGAGTATGACGAAGTCAGGCTAGAAAACTGCTTAAAAATCATGCTAAAATATGTTTAAGGTTAGTGCATAGAATATACAATTTGTACAGTATAAAAATCATTATGTCTATGGAAAGAACATGAAAACCCAGCATGTGTGTGTGTGTGTGTGATTTGTGTACTGCACAATGTGTGAAGGAATTTCCACACACCAGCCAGCCACATCAAATAAATCTGAGAGTCTTAAAAAGGCACAATTTTGCTCTGAACGCTTCAATGGTGCTTGCTTGATGCTTAACATTTAAGTTGTTTGTCTGTAGAATTACATGTATAATTAAAAAAAGGATGAATCATGCAACAGAGTCGTAGTTTAAAGCTTTGTGGTTTCAGGGAGAGGTCGTGTTTTAAGCTCTCAATGAATGTAAATGTTATTTTTATCCCGCTCTTGAAAGTCATTGTGACTAAATTAAAATTCGCCTGCATTAGCCAGCATAAGAGGAGATCTAATCAGGCTAACTTGATTTCATCCAGGTTAATCCAATATTCAGTGATACAGTTAAGTCTCATCACCATACCCCACATTAGAGACACTGGGTCGGCACCGGAGAAGGAACAGATTTACAGCTCGCTCTTTTATGTCATCCTGGGAGCCTTGGCTTATAATTCAATCACTGATACAGTTAAGTATTCATCTCAGCATGCAGTAGATATGAAATAACTGCATTCAGAGGCTCCCTATGCAAGGCATTTTTTCTTACTCGAAGAATAATTAGCTCTTAGTCGCAGTCGCGCAGAGGTTCCTTTCATTAAAACTGAGGTCTTCTGTCTGACTTCAGAGCATCAGTGAGTCTTTCCCTGCTTGTGTTCCCTCTCTGATGTCTGATGAATGTGGCATCTTGTGGGACTTCACTGGAAATAGGAATCTCAGGTTTGCAAAACTCTCAAGGTTTGCGAAAAAAAGTTTTCTCTGAGAACAAATATAAACGACAGTAATGTTAGTCTGAGATCAGATTGCCACTGTTTCCTCTTGATCAGTTTATTTTGTAACACTAGACATCATGTAATGACAAAAGATCAAGTTTTAGCTAATTTGATTTAATATGTATTACATTTATTACATTAATTGTAACATATTTTAGACAGAAGTTTTCAACTAACTGTTGAATAAGAGCAACAGTACTTGCAAGGGATGGTATTTGAGGTAAAAAGCCCCCGTGAAAGGACCCACAAAAACACTGCTTAGCATTGGAGGAAAACTTCAGGAAAACTTCATTGTCTGTCTGAACTGTAACAACACTATTTTACACAAATGAGGGGAATGAACTTGTACTGAGTGGATTCCCATTGACTGCTCCAATTACTATGGAGATACAAAAGTGACATTTGCACTAACATTATACATACACCACATTCTACAGAAGGTTATGAAATGCCAGAAGTGATGCAATTGGTGCACTTTGCTTTAGTACTTATTTTGAATAAATAATGTATATACTTGAATGGAACTAATACACATTTATATCAAAAGTATTTGCAAATGGTGACCAGGTTTTTTTTTAGAAGCACTTTTTGTTTATAAAATAATGATATTGACTTGCCATGTCAGTATGTCCCTTATATGCACAGGTACTACATTGCTGTAGTAGGCCTTTTACACACACTTACCATGATTTTAATCATTTTTAATTATACACATACATATGAAGAGTTCAGATGCAAAAGCCTCTAAATGCCATTTGAAATTTTCTTCTAAAATGACCATTTTTATGAAGCTTGTATATATATGTTCAGTAATTTCACTTAAATGACAATTAATAGGTAATCTTCATTGCCATTTAAGTGAAATTACTGAACTTAAATATACAAGCTTGATAAAAATGAGAGAAAAATTTCAAATGGCATTTAGAGGCTTTTGCATCTGAACTCTTCATATAGTTGTCATATATTTTGGGACCAGAAAAAAAAAGGTCCACCTTTAGGTTCTTTAACTACTATGTACAAACATTAAAATTAATAATTTAATACAATGCACTTATTGGCCCTCATTTATCAAAAGTGCGTACACCAAATTTCCAGCGTACACCTGGCGTACACCCAAAACCACGGTGACTTTGAGATTTATCAATATGGACATTGGCGTACGGCACACTCAAATCCTACACCAGTTTAGGAGGTGGTGTACGCACGTTTTGAGTTAGTGCGGAAATGCGAAAAAAAATCCTAACACCACAAAACGCACTTACAAGCTAAAAGACATATTATGACCCACTGTAAAAAAACAACAACAAAAAAAGCAACAACATAGTAATAATAAACTTCAGTATTTATTTTTGTGCAACATGGATTTCAATGTTTAATTTGTGTGACTACCAAAGCACTTGATTTGTAAGCATATGTATTCCTTCAGTTGCGAGCCTGTGCTTTACCCTGACGTTTCAAGATTATCCCCGGCAGGTGCGCACGGACTGGGTACAGTAATGAAAGGCTTTCAATGACCAAAAAATAATTCAGACTGACAAAATATTAAAAAATATATTCTTCTTCTTTTAAATGATATTAACAATAAAATAATAATAACGACATTCTTCTTCTAAATAACAATAAGCGTCATTAATAATACAAATCATCATAATAATAATAATAAGAATATTACAAATTGTCACGCGATTATTAATGTGAATGAATGGTACTTCACATCACATCATCATCATCACTATTATACATGTGACGTGATTCGATATTGAATGCTAATTTAAAAGACGTGCTGTAAAATAATGCATTGTGATAGGTCATTTCGGCTCCACGTCAGAGAAGTTTCTCTTCTTTGCCGTCTTCCGTGTGTCCATGGCGTAAAATGAGGGCGTGGGGGAAGCAAGGGGGTAATCCATCGACAGGAAGTTGAAGCCTTGCGGAATATGCCATCTTGTATCAGAACTTCACTTGCGTTAGCATTTCCATTGACTCCATTTATTTTGGCGTCACTTTGATAGCGAATAACTTACATCTGAGGCGTTTGAAGACCCCATTTGTCCATTATTTATTTCTAAAGAAACATGACAATGTATAAAATGCTCCATTACCTTGTAGCTTATGTTATGGCCCCGTAGAAGCAGTTTTTTTGTAAAAGTAGGCTAACGATTGCGTCATAACCAAGCGACTCTCTGTCGCACAAAAGAGAGATTACCGTATGGACAGGAGGAGAAGCTACGTGGAGCAAACGTGGAGGCAAAATGTCAAAATAATTAATCAGAATACCTAGCAAAAGTTTCTCCTGCTCCTAGCTCATGGACAGCTCCTACTCACACTCTCCGCCTCTGCAAGTTTTGGAAGGGAATGATTCAGATTTCTCATGCCACAGCCACTAGAAGACAGACGGTTTGTTCACGTCACATCTACGTCGTCAAGCTCTGTTTTGAGTCGGTTGGAGTCTGCGCGTCAGGAACGGTGCTAAAAAAAATCGCTAAAAATGTGCTTCACTTGTCTCAATGGAGTTCCAATGAGATAGCTCTGTCCACTTCTTATACTGTCTATGGGGGGAGGCGGAGACTTGAATATTTAGGAGCGTGTTATTCTAATGACGATCGTTTTCAGGCACGGGATTTTTCAAGGGCAGGTATTGCGTACATCTGGATTTCAAAGGTACGCACAGCTTCATAAATCAGGCGGTGAGAGGAGTGTAAGCATAATCTTACGCCGACATATACGCCCGTTTCTACGCAAGAATAATAAATGAGAGCCAGTGTGTACATGCATGTTTTTTACATTGATCTTATATTTAAAAAATACCTGCATGTATTACAGCTGTAATTAGCATTCATTTCTGTAATGACATCTATAATTGCACTGGTAACACTTTCCTTACACCTTAACCCACCCTTAAACCTACACATACCACAAAACCTGTCCCTAACCTTACCCGTATCCCACCCCAGTGGCAGCAGAAGTATTTTGCAATGCAACATGGACACAATAAGTACAGTGTATTTACAACAAGTACTTAGTATTTAAAGACACCTAATTTAAAGTATAATGCAGTTGAACCCTTTTGTTTTTTAATGTGTTTTCTATTTGGATTTCTAATATCAGAGTGTGAGGAAAATGCATATGAGGAATGAGGAAACTCTTTCCTGGGGGATTTGTAGTCGTTTACTTGCCGACTTTGCATCCCCCTCTCTTCTCGTTTACAAACCAAGCTGCAAGTATGTGATACTAAGCTTACGAGGTTGGCAGGCTATCCTGGAATGCTGCCTTTGGAGGTCTTTGATAAAACCAGGCAAGGCTGGATTAAGAGATCCTATCACAACGAGAGACGGATCTCATCATTTGCTAAAGACTAACGTGGGGGAAGTGCTCACATCATGACATCAAATTAAGTGTGTTTTCTAAAAGTACCATGGAAGTGTTTTGGAAGTAAATAGTTGCTGAGATGAAAACTATAAATGAAACTAAAACATTCTGTCATGCAGAACTGGGTAATAATTATCCTCTCTCTGTTTCTCCTCTCTTTTAGCATTAGAGGATGAACTGGACTTCGCATTAGGAAAGCAGACCCCTGCCTTCCTCAAGAAATGTGTATGTTACATCCGGAAGATATCCAATTTTGATCGTTTCGCTAAACTCCCTGAGATGGCACGCTACATGGACATCGTTGTGAGCGACGACCGTGTCATGAGAAACCAGGAAGCCTACGAGCGTCTTCTGAAGGTCAGAGACGAGTTTGTTCCGATGGTGGTGGCAGCATCCAATCTTCGAGTCTACTCATCGGTCACTCACTGTGACATGAAACTTGGCTACTCGCAGGAAGTAGAGAGCCACTACGTCGAAGGTCTGTGCAAACAGTTTTATGAAGACATGGTGGATATCATCCAGGCCACGGTCCAACAGAACTTTGACACGGAGACGGATACACTCTATGACGAAACCATACAGCATCTGTCGCTGTGCAAGACATTTTCATCTTTTTATGTGTACAAGAGTGAAGCCTTGGATATAATCCAGGAGTACCTGTTACCCTCTAAAGGTGGTCGAATAACTCCCCTAGTGGTGTATGGAGGACCCTGCACTGGAAAGACCTTGTTACTTGCTGAAGTTGCAAAACAGGTGAAAAGCATGTATATTATGCATGTGTGTGTGTGTGTGTGTTGGGGGGGAGGGGGTAACATGTGAACATACTGACCTGCTTTTTAAGGCCATCTGGATGCCGGCACATGTTAGATTAATGCTGCGGGATGCCTGTATTTTGCCTAAAGCTGTTATTTGCTTCCTCTGACTTAATATCTGATGTCATGGCATGAGATTCAAATTAACATTAAGGTATTTTGGGCTGCTGTTACATGTATTTGTCAGTTTGCACCCCCATGTGTATCTGGAGGCACACAGTAATCCAAATACAGAAATACAAGCTTAAAAAATCGCTGACAAATTTTAATTGATAATAATAATTCAATATAATTATTCCCATCTGTTAGCTTCAGCCAATATTTAGCACTTATGGAGGTCAGTAGTGTATGTGTTTGTCATGTGTTGATGGTCAGAGTCGACTGTGTTGATAAGTTTGGGGGCGAGGAACAAAGGAGGAAGGGTAGTGTTGACATTTCCCATCACCCATGGCAACCCGTCATAGACCTCAGCCTCTAATGTTAGTTCACAGATGATGAGCCTGGGGACCTTGACTAACTCCCTCGTCCTTGCTTATGTTCTCTCCCTCGTACTGTCCTTCTATGTAACATACACACTACAGAGAAACAGACACTCTAAAATATTTATATGAAATGCATTTTACATGGCCACACTTTACATGCACTTTTTATACTCAATTACTTACACCTAGCATGATCTCATGTTTGGTACAGCTAGCACGTTTTACACTTCCCATGTCAGTGCAGTACTGTACTAAGAATCATGCAGCCAATATGAGCTTAGTGATGCAGTCAAGCAGCAATCTGAGCACACACACACACACACACACACACACACACCCCTTGGCTAATCACACAAATGCACAGTCCTCTTGAAAATGAGGGCTTTGGAAAAGCGTATTATCATTAATTGTCAGCCTCTCCAGACCGAGATAAATAATATTTCATGTTTCCCTGAATCACAGCTGGGGGCACCCTTTAACCACATCCAAGAAAGAGGTTTTGTGTTAAGGATGAGGGAACAATTCAAACTGATTTAGAAAATCATTGGCACAAGAAATCCAGTGCTGACTCTATTGCTGTTGAGCACATTCGATAATTTGCTATCCAGTCATTCATCTTGTGTTTCCTTCCTCACAATCTGAGTTGTTAAGGTTAGTGTACAGTGGATCTATTAAATAATAGATGGACTTGTGTCACTCGAGTTTTGTTTGCTAAAGTCATACTTAAAGGTCACAGCAGTTCCTGGATTTTTAACTAGCAGTTCCTGAATATTTTTTTTTTACAAGAACAGGACATAGGATCCTGTTAAACATTAAATAATAATGTATACAGTAGTTGTATTTTATGTAGATCATATGTAATTTCAAATGGCCACGCTAATATAATCAGATTTTCCTAATTATATATATCCTAGAGGTAATTGTAAATATTATAAGACTTAACATACAGGAGAATATTCAGTAACTGTACATGTATGCTGTATTTCTGAGCTTCTGTTTCATTTTCATTTGTTTAGGCCTATTCGTGGCTACAGAAAGAGATGGGGCCAGAAACAGACCCAGTGGTCATTGTCAGATTCATCGGCTCCACCGACTTCTCTGGTGACCTCCGCACCCTGCTACAAAGCATCTGTGAGCAGATTGCCATCAACTATAGGTGCCTGATCCATTTCTTGCCAAACAAGATCCAGGAGATGAGGGAACTGCTAGTGAATTTGCTCGGGGAGTCATCATTCCACCGACCTCTTGTCATCATTCTGGATGCCTTGGAGCAGTTGTCAGATGTTGACGAGGCCCGAAAGCTGTGGTGGCTGCCTGTCCACCTACCACGTACAGTCCGAATTGTAGTGTCCACCCTGCCCAACAAGCATGGAATACTGCAGAAACTACGTTGCATGATACATGACGAGGATGGTTATGTTGAACTGATGCAAAGAGATCGCAAAGCTTGCAGTCAGACACTTAAACAGCAGCTTCTGAGTGTCAAAAGGAAGGTGACCTCTGGCCAACAGATATATGTGAATGAGGCAATGGCTAAATGTACACTGCCCATGTTTGTCAATCTCATCTACCGAGAGGTAGTTCACTGGCGGTCGCACAAGGATGTGGATGACAAATCTTTGTGTTCCACAGTGCACGAAAGTATTGAGCAGCTTTTCTACTCTATCGAAAACAAGCTTGGCTCACGCTTTGTCTTTCGGGCACTGGGCTACATCACGATGGCACGGGCAGGCCTGACTGAGTTGGAGCTAGAGGATATTTTATCTTTGGACAACAGTGTCCTTGGGGACATCATGGTGAGCTCTAATCTTAAAAGCCCGCTGCGTATTTCTTACGATTTCATAGCCCGGCTAAAGGAGGAACTTGAAGGTTATTTAGTGGAGCGTCAAGTCCGCAATGTAACACTAATGGTGTGGGCAAATCGCCATCTGCATCTCATAGCACAGAAGCTATACCTTAGTAATGAAGAAGATGTGCATCAAATGCATAGCCTTTTGGCTGAATACTTCCTTGGGGCTTGGGCAGGTGGTAGAAAGAAGATATTCCACTGCGACAATAATCATTTAGCTTCACTGAATATCTCCCAGCATCGAAACCCTCATCAACAGCAGAGCCTTCATGGCCATGACAAAGCTTCTGCCGACAAGCACTCTTATGACAGACAGACACCAGAACAACCCTGGGTGTTCCAGTGCAACTTGCTGGAGCCGGACATCTTCTTTGTCAACCATCGAAAGATGACAGAGCTCACATACCACCTGACAAGGAGTGGCCGCACAGATGATCTCATGTATGGTGTCATCATGAACTTTAGCTGGCTCTACACTATGATAAAGATAGGGCAGTTTGACAAGGCCCTGTCAGACATCGACCTAGCGTACAGCTACACACAAGAAAAGGAGCTAAAGTTTCTTGCAACTACTCTTCGCAGTATAAAGCTCAAAGTGACAAAGAATCCTGCGTCACTGTCTGCAGAGCTACAGCAAAGGCTCCTTCCGGTAGTCACATCCCTTCCCAAGCTCAGACACCTACTTCTTGAGTGTGATAAGGACGGTCCTAAATACTGCTCCATTGTGCCACTGCATTCTTCCATGGATGTCACCTACAGTCCTGAGAGATTACCACTCTCTTCTAGCTACATGCAAATTGTGGAGATCCTACCTACATTAGCTCCAAACATAGTCATCGTGGCCCTCGAGGATGGATCCGTCAGCACATGGGATGTTGAGAGTAGACAGCTGCTAAGACAGATAGACACAGCAAGGTCAGTTGTTCTTGGCATCAGGTTAACCACAGATGAGAAGTATCTGGTAGTGGCCACTACAAAAAATACACTGCTCATTTACGACAACCACAAGTCCTGTTTGTTGTCTGAGGTCGAGATAAAAGGATCCAAGCACTGTGGCATCACCGGTGGGCTGGCGTTCATCAATGGATTCACCTTGTCCAGCCACCATGCCTTAGCTTGGTTGGAGGCAAGCAAAGACGTCAATGTGATTGATTTGCTCTATGGCTGGCCTTTGTATCAGTTTCATTGCTGGTATGAGGTAACCTGTGTCCAGTGTTCCCCAGATGGAATGTATGCTTTCTGCGGACAGTATCTCAACACGACCACCATATTCCACCTTGGGAGTGGGGACAAGCTTGCCACAATGACTTCTGAATTCTCTGGTGGGTTTGTTAAGTCAATCCTGATTCTTGACACAATCAATCAAATGGTGATGATTGACAATGAGGGCAGTCTCTCCGTGTGGAACACCAAAGATGTCACAAATCCCAAGCTAATGGAGGATTATGACTGCAGAGGAGATGAGAGTGAGGTGGTGGGCATAGAGCTCTCAGAGGATCAGCGATCCATCCTCATCTGCAAAGCAAGTAGCATTGAGGTGCTGGACACCAAGATTTGGAAAATGGCAGAGAAGTTCAAGGCCAAGCGAAGTGAAAAGTTTGTGGCGGCTGTTCTCTCCAAGAATAACCAAAGTATAATAGCCTCCATGGAGAACACATCATCCATATTTGTGTGGAGGAGAGACAGTGGGCAGTGCATGGCCAGCTTGATAGAGATATCCGGAGCCATTGTAAAGCTGATCAAATCAACACACCATAACTTGCTGCTGTCTGTGGCCAGCAGTGGCGTTCTTTCTGTGTGGGACATAGACATTATAACAGCCATGTCGAACATTGATAAAACCGGAAAACCTATCCAAAACCTGCAGCTCTCTGGCCGAGAGGATTTTGTATACACCACAGATGGGTCAGAGGTCATACACAAGTGGAACTACAGCACGGGTTTCATTGAGATGGTGTTCAAGCATGAAGGACTCGTTGACAACTGCGTCCTGACGACGTCAGGTGACCTAATGGTGACATCTGATGATAAAAGTAGTCAGTACATCTGGCATACGACCACAGGTGAGAATATATTCCGTATCAACGGCCAGAGAATCTCACAGCTTCTCATCACGCACAATGATCAGTTTGTTGTGTCCCTCTGCGAGCAGAACGCCTCTCGTGTTTGGAGACTCGCCACTGGTCACAAGGTATGCAACATTCTGGTAACACTCCAGCAAGCCCTCATTACCACAGCAAACACGTTCCTTGTGGGCGCCAACAAGAATAAGATGTTAGCTGTTAGCTTGTGGTCAGGTAGTGTTTCCAAAAAGTTTATCTGTGACGATGGGATCACAATTGTTAATTTCAAATTAATCCCTGACAGTCCAGATTTTGTCGTCTTCATCACCTCCAGCGAAACGGTTTTCATCTGGAGTGTCGCTGATGAGTCTGTTTGTAGGCGGGTGCAGCTGCCCAGCAACTTCTTAAAGAACCTGGAAGATTTCCAAATATCACCAAATGGAAAGTTGGGCATTGTGTCGAAAGGTGATGAGAACATCAATGTTCTAGACCTGCACAGTGGTAAACTGCGTCTGGTCCATGCTGCTGGCATAATATGGCGGCAAAAGCTCTCACGGGACGGACGCTACCTAGTGTACATCTGTTTCCGGAATTGCGATGAAGATGATGATGCAGGTGTGGTTTCAAGTCTGATTGTCATGAGATTGGCAGACGGTAAGAGCATCGGGACCTGTTCCCTTTACAAAACACCAACCTATCTGTGCCTATCACAGCGAGCTCTTAACATCATTGTGGGATTCGAGGATGGCAGTATTGGCACCTACACAGTTGTAGACCGTGTGGATGCCGCTCTAAAAATCAAAATCGCCACCTCAAACAGTCGGCAAATCGTTAACAATGCCTCACAGAAAGTACGACCCAAGTGTAGCACCAATGCCTTCAAGACCATTGCTGACTGTGTGTGGAGAGAATCCACTGAGGTTTTCTCTCGGGACAGTCCTATCAATGTGTCTGACAGTGGGGAGCCAGAGACCACAACACCCACAAAGAAAACTGAACTGCTGCAATGAGAGCCTCTGTAGGACATTATGGGCATGAAGGAACTAGGCCAGGTTTGAATAGGTGATTATTGTTTACAGCCACTTTGATTCAGCTGCACAACACACAGCAGCTGGCCAATATCTATTAAACTGCACTTAAGCTGCAATCGGTCACCTTGATTTCTCTTATTTATCATCAACTTACTGTCTTGAAGAATTCAATACCATTTCAATATCAATATCAACACATTTGAAACCGATGCCATTCATTGCAAAAGTCCAGTCGGCTTTATGATATGTTCTTCCTTCTCATGTGTATGCCAATGTGGCCATATAGTTCAGATTTTGTATGAGTTTAGTCAAATCAAGCCATAATGTCACTTTATACAGAAGCATAGAGAAATGTAATACATTTGTAGCCATATAAGTGTTGCTGCCTTTTTCCCGCCTTTTTGTTTGAAAATGTTCATCAATGAACATTTTTTTTAAACTGTTTATTAATGTCCTCTGGTACTGTACTTAAATGGAAACTTGTGTACATATGTGTACATATGTATTTTGGCTGCTGCAGTTTGTGCAACTACTTAAAAATGCTACGTTGTGCTAAATGCAATCAAAGTGAGTGCCTGGATTTTAACTTTTTTTTTTGTTTTTTTTTTTTGTTACAGAAACTGATAAAGAGAAAATTGCAGGGAATTTCTAAACAAAAATACCTTGATACAAATATTCATCATTACGATTGTTACATACAATAAACGAGTAACAATGTTATGTGAAACATTCAGCATACAACGAATACGAATTTGAAATTACAGCATCCAAATGAGGATCATTGGAAATTATATTTCAGTATAGTACATGTATGGTCTGGAGTCATTATGAGCTTCTAAGTAAATTCAATATGCGTTCTCGAGACATACTCTGACCGGAGTGGCATGAAAGTCCATATGTGGCAATTGCTCTAAATGACAGACAGTATTCAATCATATTTAATTATTTATCAATGCCAATAATTACTGTCACTCTACCTTGCTGATGATATATATATATATATATATATATATATATATACATCACACACACACAAGACTGACAAAGTCTAATATTAAAGGGGAAAAGGATATATATATATGTTCTTTGAACCGGCAAACTGATATTGAGAAGGTCATCGCCTGACTTGACAAAATCCAAGATAATAACACTTTTAATGCTATTACTTTTAAAGAAAGTGTATCTTATTGCATCAAAAGATGGTACAACTGTACCAAGCTACAAATGGCAAGTTTTGATTTGAGGACTAAACCACTATTGAAGAGTCATGTGTAGCATCTCACCAAGTAGTATCTACGCCTTAACAGTTGGGTCATCTTATACAAAGGTGTATTTTGTTAGTGTTAGCTTATGTTCTTTGTGAGGTAAAGGTTGAATGTGTGCTTGAAAAAAAATAATACTTTGTACTTTCATGTTATAGGTGACTTAGAGATATTTATGAATCTATTTATAAATGGTGTTTGCCAAGGCAGTGTTTGGTGGTTGCACTTTATTTTAAACGGGTTGTTCACAGAGGTTTACTTTCAATAGGCGTCACGAATGCTAACTATACTGTTTTTGCCTTCAGTTCTCTGGCATGTCGCAAAAGAAAGTAATTTTAACAAAACGATCAGCCATGCCCCATTCAAACTCTTCTCTCCATAACTCAAGGGCTATTCCGTCAAATTGTATGTTTACCTCTGGAAATACTGACACATACACAATACTGGCCCATTCACAACCCACAACCTGTAGCAGTATTCAGGTGTGATTAGCCTATCCTGCTTAAGTGTTTATAATCTATAGATATCATACGATATTTGCCAAAGTTTTATTTATTTTTTTATTTCATTATTATTATTTGTTTTCAGAATGTTAAATGGTGTTGTGACCTGGCTTTGTTGTGTTTGCTAGCATAACTATGAAAAAGAACATGCATTATCTTTGCTAAGATATTGACAAAGTCCATCTCTATTATATTGGAATGCCAGTTTTAGAGTATATCTGAATGTGTCGATATGAGAGCAGTTGAACAGTATATTATATGTTATGTAACTTGAATGACTTTTAACTACATACATGTTTGCAAAACATAGTTCACATACTGATATTGAATGTGTTTATTGTATTATTTGTATTGTCAAGATTGAAGATCCCTGTTTAGAGATATATATTTTCATAAATGTTGTACTTACATTTTGTTACAAAGTAGAAGAAAATAGAAAAAAAATGTGTCTGAAAGCAATATGACTTAGTGTGTATGCATTGTTTGTATGGAACATTTTAATGTAATAAAATGGTTTTCTTTCTGCCTATAAAATCTTGTTACTTGGGTATATTTGTCTTATTTTGGATTATACCTATTGTATTCCAGATAACACTAATCTTTGTTTACGGAACTGTATTCTCATCTTATAGCGTCATATAGTGAAACCTTTGAAATTTCGTCTAAATCCAATGCACATGGCTCCCTTTAGCGTCAATATAACTCGCACAGAGCTTTGTTCGGTTATGGTGTGTTCAGTGTTGAGGTAGGTTTAGGGTTACACCACTAGGAGGCGCCTTCTGGCCCACATATATCTGCGTCTCATATTGACGCTAAATGGTGCCATGTGCGTTGGATGTAGACGAAATGACAAAAGTATCAGCCTTTGGATAAGAACGGGCTGCACGCTGATTCCTCATAAGTCATATTTTTTATATGAGGAAGGCTTTGTTAAAAAGATTCCCTACATGGCACAATCAGAAGGTGAGACGTTGAATGATTTGGCTGATAATAGTACTACTCCCCTGTGCAATGCGCAAACAAATGTGTTAAACATTTTCCAAACAGTGCGCAGGTGCTTTACCTATTTCAATATTTCAATTACAACACCTGGATTCTCTCGCACACGTGTGCATCAGTGCAGGTTCCAACACACAAACACCACCATAAACAAATTCTAGCTCAGGGCAGAAATGCTGGTGTGTGGTCTCTATGGAAACTGAACCCTCAGCGGCATCTGCCCCCTGTTGTGATGACTATGGAACTGGCATATCAACATTGTGTATGAGGGAAAAACAAATGCATTTTTTTTTTTTTTTACATAAGCTCATCACAGCATAGACATTCTTAGTCATCTCTCCCCAGGAAGTTACTGTGCTCGTGTGCTGTAAATGAACAATTGTCACCAAACAGTCAATATTGGTACAACTAAATATAGCCTACCAAGTTTATTCCTGTTTCTGCTTTCATTTCCTGGTCTGACTACTTTTGCAATTAAGCCCTTATATGCAAATTTACTTTTAAAGTAGGCTATAGTTGTAAATAAGGCAGATACTTTTAACACACCACCATAAGCAAGATTTTTGAAAGAAATATTTTATTCTCTCTGAGACTGCATTTATTTGATTAAAAATCTATTTTAATAAATGTAATTAATTCCTGAATTTTGAACACCCACTTATTCAGTCTTCATTGTCACACGATCCTTCAGAAATCATTCTAATTTTCTGATTTGGTCCTTTAGAAACATTTCTTATTGATATTAAAACAGCTGTACTGCTTTATTTTTGTGGGAACATGATTATTTGATGAATACAAAGAGAACAGCATTTGTTTGAAAGATATTTTTTTCTGTATTAACAAGTCTGTACTGTCACTTTTAATCAATTTAATACATCCTTGCATACAAGTGTTCATTTATTATTTAAATATATATTATTGGCCCAGAACACAACCCGCTTTGATAATATCTTGTATTTTAAAAAGCTATAGACTGCATGATGTTGATAGAAACAAAAAATAATAATTATAGACAGAAAAATCCAGAAAAGCCTTTGAAGGTATCTTGAATTCTTTATGAATGACTGCTAAAATATGACATGATGGTTATGTAAATATTAACCATTTGACAATTTGGGGGGAAATTTTCAGAAAACAACAATAATATTAAATTTACCATGGTCATAAAAAGATCTGAACTCTTTTATTAATCAGGATGTCTTGGTAACTTTTCCAAAAGAGGGTTACATTGACATTTTACATTTAAAAATTTGTTCTTAATTATAAATATTGGCTTGACTACATTACTGTATATGATTCAAAACTCCTTACAAAATCTATTATCACGATAAGAACATTTGAACAGAGAGGTTGGAAAAGGTGTGGAGCATTTACTTATGGTGTCCACCCAAGCACTTTCATGTTGTATTACTATAAAATTACTACAGCTCTTTGGATCTCATTGTATCCTGCAGCTGTGACTGCAGAATGAAATATGAAAGATAATGACATTCTGAAACAAACAAGCAACAAAAAAGTGCATCATGTAACTCGATCTCCTAAGTAACCAAATGGAAAAATTCAGTCCAGTGGAGACAGAGAAAATAAACACACCCATGTAAGAGAGTGACAATATGTGTCCTGTTGTTGTCATCCTCATATGCGCTATGGTCACATGGATGTTACTTTGAATGAAAATCAAACTTGTGTTTTGATGTATTATTTACAATAGAAACAGTAGTGCTATGTTCAAATAAAACGGATTAATTATTTCAAACAAAAGTAAAAAATAAATAAATAAATAAATAAATAAAAATCCCACAAATGTAAAAACAATATGTGGTCCTCACATGATCTCTAACAGCTTTGGCAAGTTGGTTCTACCATATAGTGAGGACTTTCTGTTGACTATTTTGTTTAATATTCAGATGACAAGTATGATTTAGCTGATTTATGGGCAACTCAAACAGTCAGGGCTAGCCTATTTGAAATATCCTCACAAGTCAATGTTTGCTATGTATCACTATATTTGTGAAGGCATTTTCAAACTGTTGGCCCTCAGAATATAGTCAAACCGGTACTCTCTCTCTCAGGTTTTGTCAGATTTAGTCTCTAGTCACTTAGCCTATGTACAATTTGTCCCCAAAATATGGTTATGTACACACACACACACACACACACACACACACACACACACACACACACACACACACACACACACACACACACACACACACACACACACACACACACACACACTAAAACACATGTAGACAAAGAAACAGCTAGGATGTTTTGACTTGATATAATAAAAAATTAACTTGTGACTCATTTACAGTACTAGCCTACATGAAGCTTTCATTGTCAGTTACACAATATGTCACCTTCAGCTGCCATTCAAAGGCGAAAAATATATTTTATAACAAACTTTTAGACTAGTCGATCAGATTATTGCTTAACCCATGGCATCACACTCTCCACTCCTGACTACTGATTAATTTTAAGCAAACACTCTGACCAATAACAGAGGGATTACAGAGATAAACAGTGGCATGTAACATTAAACCACTTATAGGTCACACTGATATTAAGTTTTTAAGGCCAAAGTTCTAAAATTTACCTTTTTTTCTTTTCTTTTTTACAATATAGGGCTATTTTATTGTATAAACGCTATAGTACGCAAAATAATGTTGCTTTAATTGCTTAGTTCAGATCCTTTTGAATGCACCTGCCTACATTGCCTATGATACACTGCATGACGGTCATTTGTGCTGCTGAAATGATTTCCCAGCTTGTTGCCAGTGGTTTAAACGCTGTTTCCCAGTTCTCAGCGTTTCCCTGATCCCTCGTCACATGGTTTGTCGTTAACGTGCTGAGGCCCTTCCTTGGACTCAGACTGCCATCTGAAATTCAAATGGACGTGTGCTGGAGGCAAGGCAGAGCGGAGTCACGGGGGACCTTCCTCAACTCGGAGTCGGAAGCAGTAACACAAGGGCAAAATAAACATAAGGAAAGAGGAGGAGAAAACGACTGCGATGTGTGCGCGACGTCTTCAGGTCATGGAAGAACTAAGAAGTTTTTTTTGGCGACACTTCGCTTTTTTAAAGTCGCTTTTGGTTTAGTATATTAGGAGATACTAATTGCGAAAATAAATGAACGCCGCAGTTATACGTAAAATTGTAGCCCCTCTGGCAAACAACTACCACACCTTTATCATCAGTGTAACAGGTAAAGGTTTTCGGTTAAAGCGCTTTATCATTTAAGAGCTCAAGTTTTTTTTCTCTCACCTGTTGCGCGGATCTTGATATAGACGGATTGAACGTTTGGACAATATGAAGACACATCTTTAAAAGATAAACAGTAAGTCTGCTTACTTTATTAGAGCAACAACAAAAAAAAAAAGTTTGCCTATGAATGTAATGGTTGTTCATCGCCTTTTTGTGAATATGAGGGAGTTAAACAACATAAAAAGTCGATTAACCAGTGTTTGGTAAAAGCCTGTGCTCGGACGGTGCATGTATTTACGCTAGAAGAAACACCTTGTCATATGGAGGTGTAGTTTAGTTTTTTTCACGGTTAAAAAGATAGTTCACTCCAAAATAAAAATGATTTTATCTATAACTACTCTCTGTCCAACCCATATCACTTTTCCTTCTTGTGGAGAAGTTTGTGAGACAGGTGGGAGCAACATTTCCCCTGCAGTTAATGAACAATGACTGAAGATAAAGCTTCAAAAAGAAAATATGATCAAATATGTCCCTGTGACTTTTCTGCACTATTTAAAGCCATCTGGAGCCATGTGTAAGCTTTGTGTGAAGAACAGACTGAAATGTTGTTATTCACATAACATTTCTCTATCCATTGAGCTTAACAGCTGTGACTGAATCATTGCTTCCCTTTTGAGTCACCATATTGTTATTGCCACTATTTTTACTGTGAACTGATGGCAGCAGAAAAAGGCTTTTACCTTATAGTGAAGGTGAGCAGCTTGTAAAAGGTGTAGATTTCTGAAGGATAATGTGACAATGAGGACTGAAGTAATAACGGCTGAAATTTCAACTTTGTCGTCAATGGAAATGAATTGCATTTTAAAATAGAAAATTTCAGTTTGTTACTGAATTTTTATCTAATAAATGCAGCTTTGGTCATCATAAGACATTGCCAACCCCAAACTTTTGAACTGTATTGAATTGAATGACATCTTATTAAACCCTTTTGACACTTTTAAAATTAAACCCAAAATTCTAAGCTTGTTTCGTGATTAATGTACAATTTATATTGTGTAATCTAGCCTTTTTCAGGTAGCCGGTCTCCATATATGCTCGGTAGGCTTGTGGTAATGTTTACAGTAGCCGTGGCGTAAGGGGGGAGTGAGCAGGTTTATGCAGTTTGTGTTTACAGTCAGACTCAGTGTTTACTTGTGCAAGGTCTGCTGTGTTGTGAAGGTGTGGTCTGAGGTGCCCAACAAAGGGCCACTGGGCCTTGTGCTCCATCAAGCTACGGCATGTTACCTTGACATTTACACTGCTAGTGTGTACACAGACTAGCCTACAATGTACATCTGAGCATG